AAATTACCTTTCCTAAAAAGAAAACCAACATAAAATATTAAGTATCCATTACTTTTGTGTATTCTGTCTTTCCTAAAAGAGTGTGTATCCATGAATATTATATTCATTCCCATCATTCTCCACCACCCAAGGTTCAGAAATTAATAATTTCATAGTCATATGTAAATGTTGTAACCCTGCATTCTTGCAGTTTATTTCTTATGCTTTGAGTTCTAAGCATTTAAGAATTTTGTGTGTTGTTTGTTTTATATTTGTTTTTAGTGATGCCCAGGGCATTCCTTATCCCACCAGACCTGGGCTGTGAGTGGCACCCTGCCCCTCAGGTTAAATACTCAGCTACACCTTTTATCTTACCAAACAACTATTGCTACTAAAGAACGTCAGTAATATAACCTGGAAATAATGTGTTAGAGGAAGCGTGTCAAAGAAAAAAGTACAGATGTCCTGCTGGCAGATGTCATGAACTAAACGAATCTACCAAAAAGAAAGAACTATGAGCATTGAACAGATATATGAGAAATGGTAATTCAGGAAAACGAAAAAAAAAGACTACAGTACATCAACAAAAGGGAAGTCATGCCGTCATTGTTCACCCGAAATCTCAAGTTCATCTGTGGCCTGGAGTTCGTGACCGTTACGTCAGGCTGAAGAGGTGAAATGTGTGCCTGAAAGTGAGATACGCTGATCAGCTTGAAGACGGAGCGTGGAGTTTCCCTGTGCGCTATTCCTAATGCAAAACCACTGAGCAAGGAAATAAAATTGAAGCAAAGCAAAACACGTATATGGTAAAACGGAGTAGAAATACAGGAGAGGAGAGATTACTAAAGGCACTATAGATTTAATAAATGTAAATACCAGTGTAATTAATTATACGCCTTTGCCTATCGGTATGTGTGGTGTAATGCAAGATAAATACGTTTGTTAACACTTTTGATAGTTTTGGAGTCTCAAATATGCATAAACCTCGAAGAAAAAATACATATCCTTTATAATCCATGTAAAGCCATTGTTACCAAATACCCCGAAACAAGAAACATTTTAAGTAAACCGCAATACCTTTTCAGGATAAACGATAGGGAAGTAAGAACACGCGGACGGAAATCCTCTATTCAGCGGTTACAATCATAATTAAATTTCCCCTGCTTCGATCACTTTCATTGTATCATTAAAACGTTAAAAAAAAGCGTGTTTCGCTTCAATTCTCCCATTACAGACTTATTTCGCTTTTTATACCTGCGTCTTATCCGACTATTTAAGCCGCTGAGACCTGATGGCAAGACACAGATCACACTCTGAAAGCATTTGGAACAGCATCTCTTTGAGGTAAATGGGAACACAGAAAAGTGTGATTTTGAACCTGTCTCTCTTTCTCCTCGACTACTTGAACTAACAGCAATCTTCCTATGTTTCAGGTATTCGCTATGGCACTGGAAGGCTCCCTGTGGCTGTGTGTTGTCTTCTGCCTCTCGCAGGCTTGGGCGATGCCTACGAGGTGCGCATTCAGAGAGCATCTGATTGAAGTCAGCCTGAATCTTCTCAAAGACATGGTGAGTCCAAAGAGAATGGTATTCAAGTATAAAAATATGCCGAAAGTGTCATTTACATTTGGTTATAATATCTTTACGTTCTGTGTTTTAAGGGAGACGGTTTCCCCAAAGAGTGCCTCAGTGATAACGTAGTTATCGCTTTCCCAGCGGAAGCCTATGAGTTTGCGGATGATACCCAGGTAAAGACAGCTTCTTTTTACATTTTTGCCTTTTGATATGGGCGATATCATTCACATGTACTACTGGACATACGTGGTTTATACGTAGATATAATGATACGTAGAAAATAGCAGATTTTAAATGAAATGAAAGAGATTAATTCCAAGACGAACAAAATAACCTGTGAAATCCTCTTCAGGTGTGTATACAGATATGCAATATATGCTGTATGTATATTATATATGAAATACAGATATAATTTCATTGTTGGTCTCGGCTTGAAATGTTGCGGCGATTTTAAAATACTTTTCAAAATAAAGACCAAGTGTTGGTTGGTGATTACAGCTCTAAACGTTTCTTTTCCGAAACACAGAAAGAAGACTTTGAGATAGCAATTTACAAAACACTGAACAGCACAGACGCCCTGTTTGAAAACGAAGGAAGGCCAACTTCATGGGGCCAGAGAGCAGTGGACGAATTTCAGAACCTCGTTTTTCGCCAGGTTCAAGATTTCAATACCTGTGTAAGTTCCAGATACAAACAGCCGTCGTCTCTTTAACGTGAGCCGCTAAAGTACGGTCTAGCAGGAGCAAATACTCCAAAAACGTGCATGATAGCGGAACTTGTGTGATCTCTTGGAATCAAATTTTAACAATCTGGACTAAGACACGACCAGACCCTGAAGAAAATCGTATACAGTAGGCTGTTGTTTGCTCTGGAGCCAATGAAAGAACGTCTTGATTTCACTGAGGCCTGGATATTAAACCAGAAATTAAATAAGTCCTATGCGTTCCTATTCGCTATTGAGTGTAGCGAATGGCTCCTATCCTTAGACTTGCAGGAGATCTTAAACGAGAGCACCCTGTGTTGATTTCAGGTCCCGGGGATTCGGGAAGACGTAGAAACGACCGGCAACTCATCTGCTGCTTACAGGATAACGCTCCTGAAGACGTACTTTCAGAAAATGGAAAATGTTCTGCAAGAAAAGGTATTTAAGATGTTTATTTCAAAGTATATATACAGTATATAAAACCTTGCATTGTGGTCTGTTTTCCTAATTGCTGGCCTGTTTGTTCCACCCCCCAGAATTACAGTTCCTGCGCCTGGGAAATCATAAGAAAAGAACTCTTGGGGATTTTACAAGTCATCCTCGATAAGAACGCTGAAATCGTGGTCAGGGCATGAAGATTATAACGCAGGACATTATTTACGTGTGTTTTTTTTAATAATGTCTGGAAACATGGAGCTAATTTATTTATTTATTTTTATTATTTAACAACGTTGATGCTATTTATATGACTTATTTATTGAAGAAATCTATTTTTTAAATTACACTTTTGTACGATGTTTTTACACGAATAAATGTTATGGGAATATCATCATGTGCTTGCGTTATTGATATCTGGATTGTACAGCATTGCACGGTGCCACGCAGATGAGCAAAAACTGAAGTGCAAAAAAAAAACTGTGAGTAGAAGCTTTTACAAACAGCCCCAGGGAATACAATTTGGCCCTGCAGAAGGAACTGAACATAAACACGACACGGAAATTATTCGCAGGATTTCTTTATATTGAATCATTTATACTGCAAAACAAAATTTCAAATAGGTTTATAAAGTTCCCGGGTTCAAAAAGGTTTAAATTCCATAGTGCCAGTTTGGCAGTCAGTGGCTCAGCGGAACGCCTGACACAGGTCCTGTACAGTGAATCAATGCACTTGTGAGAGAAGCTTCACTTCCGTGCATTTGGACAAGAACCCGAAGTTGGACACTAGCCCAAGAAGGACACTAGCCCAAGAACCTTTATTGAAGACCTTCGACCTTGACTTGCTAGGAGCGTAATCTGCAGTGTTTTACATCATCACGGCTGTTAGGCGAATATTAAGTGGCCTTGAATAAAGACAGACCGATGGATCACCAGATTGCGTAATTTCGAAACCCTGACGTCACCATTTCAGAGGCTACGGCATTTCCGCGTTTCCCTTCCTGCGCTTTCGGTTTCGTTTTCCGAATTAAAAAAAAAACCTATTAAATGTACGAGCGTGTTTAATTAAAACGAGTTAAGTAAAAAATAACACATATAACCTTTTGTATAAAAAGATGCGATGTTCGAACGGGTATGACCGTTACCACAAATAAAAAACGCGATTTTGTCAACACGAGACTATTAAAACTACATATTGTGACAAAACATTTCTGAATTGTTTTTTATCTGAATTGTTGCTCTCGGTGTGCGGACACCAAACTGTTGTTTTCAAAGCCTTTGTTTCGAATGTACCTTTTTTTAGCGTGCATTTTTTGCCTTTTGCAATTGTGGCATTTTACCGTGCTTGCAATCACTATTAAACAATTAGACTGCAACAGACAGTCGTAACAAGGCGTCCTTTCAAATACACCTTAGTTTTTCACTATGCATGTTTCAGTTCGTTTTTAGTCACAGACCTCACTACAAACGGCTTCGCCAGTCTGCAGTGACAACTGGGCATAGACAATTCAGTCAAGACGTTGTACGTTCACTCGTTAGACCAGACGCACTAAACCTGTGTGCAATTCGCACACATGTCAGCCTCACTGTCAGTCTGTATACAGAACGAAATTTTCATCAATCAAGAGAAAGGATAAAAAATAAACATGGGATTTTGGCAAGAAGTCCTAGCAAACGCCGGCACAGAATATGACATTTTAATATCCTTCCGGTGACCCACTAGAATTACAACACTGGACTGAACAACCACTGAAACAACCTTAACGACGCTGGAAATTAGAACTTCGTGGTCTCTTGTTTAAAATTACTCGCGTTAACGCATTAGCTCTGGAAGGCTAGAGTTTGCCGAACTTCTACTGTAAAATAAGAGCAAAGCCATTTTTTTTTCCCCCCCCTTGAATTGCCTTTTTGTTTTTGTTTCTTCAGGTTTCGTTCAATGTACAACAGGGCGTTTCCTTTTAAAGACAACTTATCACCTCTGGTCAGGGTCGTCTGTTAGTAAATGTGTAATTAAAAGAATAGTGACAAACTCGCAGGGAACAATTGTTTAGGTGGCAGCTGAGTCAAAGATGGTCTATCATGAGTGCAAGAGTCAGTGGTTGCCTAATCAAGTAATGGAATTGGAGAATGCCCACTGAATCCGGCCCTTATAAAGCTAATGTACTTAGCAATGTCGGTCTTCTCAATAGGTTTGTGAAGTGGAGGAAGCTCACATGTTAGTAAATCGCTGCTTGGTGATTTAAAAACCATTACAGAATCTACCTGTAATCCACCTATCTAGTCTCCGTTTGAAAGAAAATTAAAATCAAGGAAGCAAGAATGAGGGGATATATTTATGTACGGAATATTTACGACAGACTAGACCTGTAGTTTTGACAGACCGGAAAAGAGAGACCCTGTGGAAGACGCAGAATGCTCATCTTGTTTGCTTCTGATGTGTGTTCAACTGCCATGGTCTTGACTAAAGACAAAAAAAAAAGAAAAACATGATTTCATTAAGCCTACATGACTGCTATGTAAAAATCTAGTGTTCAAAAAGCCCAACAGCCATAAGCATTGTGTTCTGTGTCTGAAAAGAGTCAATTCACTCATGCACTGAGCAGAAGAAATAGTTTGTTGAGCAAAAGACAGTCATTGCTAAGTTTATTGACATTTATTGACCACCGATTTATCATTACAAGTGGTGAAGACTTGCAAAGCAAAATAAGTTATTTTTGTATTCTTTTGCAGAATACACCATGATTGTGCAAAACCTGTTACATCAGAGCGAAATGTCCTTGATAAGGGCACGCAGGTGGAGGAAAAGCAGATGGGTGAGATTTAGGAAATGAAGATGGCATTTCCTTTTGATACAAAACAGAGGGAACATTTCATCCCCATGTGAAAATAAACTGATTTGAAAAGCAACATTGGGTCTTACAGAAAGCCAAGGACCGGGGTTTTCAAACAATGCAAAACAAATTAGACTTGGCAGTCCATGAAAACTTCACTTTGTTTCAAGCAATGCTCCTGCCAGTGTCATAAAACAAAGGTGAAGAAGCAGATTTCCACTTACCTGGTGTGAGCCCTGCGGAATATCTCCTCTGAAGAAGAAGAGGCACACGCACTTTGACCTAGACTCTTCCGACGAAGGTACCCAAGGGGCTTGTGTAGATCTTCAATCCAGAGTGGCTTCATCTTTGGGACATATTCACGACACGCAATCTGCAAGAAGTATTTGTAGGTTTAAACTACATCAAATATTTTATTGAATTATAGAATTTAAACTATGTAACCATTATCTATTTACTGTATAAGGAACAATTAGAGGTTGCTTTGCAGTTCAAATGCTGATGTAGTTCCCCACTCAAACCTGTACTATATACTAGTGTCATTGAAATTGGGGTTTAATCCTGAGCAGGCTTTACATTATTGACTTACCTTACCAGTCAGTCAAGACTAGCACCCCAGATCTTCACCTGCCCACCCTACCAGAGTGCCGAGTCATGGTCAGCACCCCAGATCTTCACCTGCCCACCCTACGAGAGTGTTGAGTCATGGTCAGCACCCCAAATACTCACCTGCCCACCTTACCAGAGTGCCGAGTCACGGTCAGCACCCCAGATCCTCACCTGCCCACCCTACCAGAGTGCCGAGTCACAGTCAGCACCCCAGATCCTCACCTGCCCACCCTAACAGAATGGTAAGTCGAGGCAAGTGTGAAAGTGGTCTTGCACAAGTATTTTGAATAATGCATAAAAACTGGAATATCTTACCTCTTGATCTGATTCTTGTAGGAGTTGCCCATTTTCTTGCAAATATTTTGTCTCTGACCTTGAAAATTAAAGTCATTTATCAGAAGAGCTGTTATTTAACCACTAAAACTTGAATCATCCTCACTACCCAAGTAGTGATAAGTTACTTTGAAATGAACATGTGGCATCTACTTTTCTTTAAAAGACAGCAATCATAATTAGATTTATATTTATCAAAGAATGATGAATAAACATAACTATTAAAAGGCATTTAAACACGATCGAAGATTTTTATATACCTACCAGATAACTTTTGTTTTTTTTTCTTGTGAGCTGGCTTATTTTTGGATGAGGTTCTCATAGGAGCAGCCTAAAAAATGCAATGCATTAGAAAAATTATGGGATAAAACAAAACCTCTCCCAGACTTTTCTTCTAGCAATGAGGCCAAAACAAACCCTTACTTTTGTTTCAATAAAGGGTCTAATGTAGGTGTGATGCTTTCTTGAGGTGGCAGAACACCATGAAGGGCGTTAGAGTTGGTGTAAATGAACCTGGAAAAGGCTCTGTCACCATTCAATGTTGAGATTTCGGCCACCAATAAGCAGGGTTAAGTCTGAGGTTATTCATTCAGAAGCAACGTAAAAATTAATTTTGACTAAATGGAACGGTTTGCTTTGTTTATGCGGCAGTAATTAAGTTTGGAAAAATGCACTATTGAATACCACAATGAGTCATAAACTCAGGTCTGCTTCTTGCGGGGGAGAACTGAACAGCTCTCTCTGACACAACAGAAATTTCATACATGCCTAAGACAAGCTCTCTGTGTATATTTAAACAAAATTACGACATCATTTTAACTGTAGACATTCCATTGAATCGATTTAGAAGCTATTAAAGCCTCTGTCCAGGTCTAATACCCTCACAGCAAAATGAAATGACTCATTTGGTGATAATGTATTTTATTGATAGATTAAGAAATTGCAGCTGTATAGTCTTAAAATACCTGGGCCTATTGTCAGATGCACAACAGAGCACCATTTATCCTAATTATTAAAACGCTGACCTGTGCTCTCTTGTTTGTAATTTACAGAAATATGCCCTACTGTAAAACAGGTTTTGATTTTACAAGAACAGACAGACTTTTTGTAATATACAATAGATTTGTGTCACTCTGTGAAAAATGTCATTATTATTTGGTTTGTCCATTTATTTAACACAACAGAATATGTTTATAAATGTTCTATGAAAAAAGACTTGCTGCCTTGCAGCCTTAAGGTAACAAATAAAGTAAAATTGAAGAAACATAGGTGTGGAAAAAATGATTCATTTGAAATATTGTTCTGCACAATGCCACAAACCTTAATGATAAAGATGATCCTGAAAATCAGGCCTAAATTCGCTATGGTTGCAAGAACTAATGTCAATCTCCTTCCATCTGCAAGAGATATTCTCAGAATCTGCTCCTGTAAAAACAATCACACTGGTAGCATCCTTACTATAAGGGAGAGACACATTGAAAGCTATTTGTTAAACGCACAAAATCAAATACAAAAAATCTGCAAATAGTGGGGACCATGATGTACATTTTTCTTAAAATCATTGCAAATCAAAATAGAGGCCTTTTCAGTCCATGTTTTCTGGGGCAGGAATAAGCCTTTTAAGAACATCTTGATAAGAATAAACAAACAGCAGCAAACTTCGCTGGCCATTCCTGGGAGGGACACTTGGTACTTAAGCAAGAGGTGTTTGGAATAACCTGACGTGTGAATTTCTCACAAAAGCAAAGTCCACAGCAACTACGAAGGCAGCTGAGCTCGAGTAGGTTCTGAATCTTTCAAAGAGAGGACAATATCTCCCACATGTACTGTACTGGGTCAAGGAGCAGGTCTATTTCAGGGGATGGAAAATCCCACACAGGGGAACTGCTCACCAGGGTACGTGCTGCCTTTTCCACAGCCTGCTCGATTAGCGCTGAGGACTTGATCTAAAAGCGCTTGGAAACCGGCCAGCACTGCGTCACAGTTTGCCCGCGGCAGGGGCGTGAGGCACCAGCCTCTTCACTATGGAAATCACACTCTCATCCGAGGGCGCGACTCTCCAGTCGTCGAGGATCTTCTGGTCGGGCCGGGCCGGTTTCGGAAGAGGAGGTGTTTCCGGGTCCGAGATGGCAAGACTCGGGGTTCTGCTAACAACGGTCTATGAGCCCGCTTTCCCGGCAGTATAGGTTGTCATTTTGAAACCAGCTCTTTGCAAAGGATTAGTATTCTCAGAAACAGGGGAAAAACCTCTGTTGTGAAGGATGCCGGGCATTCTCAGGGGTGTTGACCATCTGGGACATTTCTGGAAACGAGCCATTGCGGACAGTGCTGTCCACAAATGGCGATAACACAGCGCGAAGGCCATTAATATAATTCACAGAAATGCATGTTTCTTGGAGATCCATTAGTACGTGGAAAGCTCTGCTGTTTTTCTGCAAGGGAAGCATTCGATGGCTTGCTTCGTCTGCGTTTGGAAGGCCTGACTCATGCATTCTATATGGAACTCCCTCTCTCATGTGGTGACTAGGCAGACGTTCTGGAGCACCATCCTGATTCAGAAAAGGGGATTTCTCAACCTCTCTCTCTCTGAATAAGGCCTCTGACGTTGAGCACCTGAACAAGCTTTAAGCCCATGCCTCAGAATAGTCGGAAAAGTAATCCGCAAGTCCTGTGGTGGCCGAGACGCGATAGATGTTTCCCGCAGTTTTTCCAGGAGGTTGTTCCAAAAGCTCCGTGTTGGACGGAGTGTTGCTAGGGGCCTGGGCGGAAGCATCATCACCCAGGCCTCGGCCCCCAGCTGTTAGAAGGTTTTGTTTGAGCGTAAAAAAGTCGGCAGGAGAGTCCGATGTTTTAAGGCGCACCAGTGCTCAGCTGCCACCTGGCGGGCCAACTCCCCGGGCGCGCGTTCCCTGATGCGTCACCCTCAGCCGTCGTGGGGAAACTGCCAGCGTCGATTTCAATAAATGACTTTGCCTCACTCCCGTCTGAAACATCTGACTCATGGCTCCACGCCTGTGAAAGCCGATGCGTTGCGCTGGCAGACTTCAGATTTGACACCTGTGGTTCGACGAGCGTTGGCCGGGCTCCTTTGTGCTGGAGACTCTGGGCCCCCGGGCCCGTGTTCATCGAAAGCCCAGGCGGCCAGGTCCGCCTCCTCCTCTGCATCTTGGCGCGCTCTTTCCAAAGGTGTCGGCTGCGTCTTTCTCTCCGCCTCTCCAGACGGGTGTTTCACAACTGCTTTCGTTCCAGATTTGAGTGTTGGGGACAGGACCCAGTGCTTGAAGAGGAGCCCCAGCACTATGGTTCAAGTTTGCCGATGGTGCAGGTCCTACTTTCTGTTTCCTCGTGGTGTTATGGGCCCAGTTGCTTTTGGCCTGCGTTTTTCAGACAGACGTGCCCTCCAGTCGGCGTGTGGGACCCACTGCCTTGTTTTGAGCTGTCCGGCGTGTAAGAGAGTAGGGCGGGATATCTTCCTGGCCCAGTGTGATAAACCCTTCACGTGGGCCACGTCCTGCTTTTTAAAGTTCAAACCAAACAGCTTTCTCGCCAGCTGCAGTTTGACACCAGAACCAGGGGCCTTCAGCTTCCTGGCAGCTGTCCGAGCAGTTTCCCATTTCTCTGGCTTCCCTTGTGCTGTTCCCGTGTCCACGGGGTCAATGGCTGCAGTAGTTCCAGAACTGGAATTTTTCTAAATTAGAGTGTTTAGCTCCTTTCACAGCCCCCTGATGACTGATTTCTCCTCCTCTTGTAATCCAATGGATGCCTTTGTCCTGTTCCTGCTTCTCAGTCCCAGGGTTTTTATAATGCGTTCCTGTTCAGTCTGGTCACATTGGTTTTAAACCAGAAGTAAGAATGAAAGGGAATGGCAGTTTTTTTTTTCTGGAAAATATCTAAGTAAGGAAAATTCATATGAGAAAAACTGTCATTTCTATTTGCATTTATCATTGTGTGCTTTGGGGCTCTATATACGTCTACGGCAGAAATCTAAGGAGACTCTAAGGGCATTCTAGTCAAAACTGTAGTACATTCTGGTTTAAAATGGAGTCAAGGATTGTCAGAAGAAATGCTGGACTAATGGATTTGTCATATTCTGGGTTTTTTGTAACTGATCTGTGCAAAAAAAAAGGATTTAAGACCCATCTATGTTGTTGAAATCAACTGTATAAGATCTTTCATGAAACAGCTGGATTATTTCCAGGTATAAATTAGCTACTTCAAGGGAGCCAAATGAGAAAAATCTTTTTACTTTTTCATATGCTCACAGTGGGCAGTACTGCAAAACATTCATCTCATTTGCAATTGCTTCTCCAAGTATCCAAAATCAAAGTATTTAATCAAGGCTGTGTCTTGGAGAACCCCCTCTC